TATCACCAGACAGGCACCATATTTTTACACCCAGTGGACATAAATAGAGAATTGATGATTCAGCTGAAAGTCAAATATTTAATTAGTGGCATTTTTCACGTCAGCTGAATGAACCTTTATTTTTAATTAAGCCATAAGTGTTTTTGAAAAAATATTTTAAGACTGTGTTTGCCTTTGAAACAAGTTGAATGCATCTTTATTTATTTATTTTTTTTTTTGCACTTACTTGAAAAAACAAACAAGAAAATAAGATGAGACAAAATGTACTGGAGAGGTCATAAAAGTAGAATGGTTTTACATAGCAACCCCAACCTCCATTAGAGAAAATACAACAATTAAAAAATGAGTAAATAAATAAATAAATTGTCTGATTCAGTCAGAATTAAACACACAGTTCAAGAAACAGGAAATCAAAGTTTCTTTCAGCTTCTGATTAAATACAGATAAAGTCAAACATGTTGAACCGTTTGATTCAAACTGATCCACAGTTCGACACCCGGAGGCACAGCAGAAAATCTATTAACAGAAATTATCGAAAATAAAAATCCTCTTGTAACAAAACCTTATTTATACAAGAGTTGGTTGTTTTGACATCTTTTCTATCCTTTTTCTGGGATCCATTGTCCAAATCATCAGTGTTTTTGTTGTTCTCCTCTCCTCACTCTTCTCATAGCATCCTGGCTGAAGCTAAAAACCTCTCCTTCAATGCAACAGCTGCCGTCCATGCCTACAGCAACATTAAAGCCAACATCGATGCAGCAGAGAAGGAGGCGAAGGCGGCCAAACAGAGAGCAAGTGAGGCGCTGGCTCTGGTGAGTTCAGGAACTCCTTCACACCTCAAGAATACATTTTTTTAAAAAGTGGCTCATTTTTCTACATTTTCTTGTATTTTCCGTACGGTGCTTTGGGCTGAGATGTAAACATCCATGTATACAGGCTGTAGATGGAGAGGACAAGCACTTCAGCCATCCAGAGCTTGAAAGTGTTTTCTCAGCACAAAGGATAATGTGCGCTCGTATGCAGTAACAAAATGTAGGCTCATGCTCTGCTTTGGTCATGGATGAGAGATCAAAGCAGTTCTTCATCCCTCTTCCTTCTCATCTTCCTCTTTTATTACAGTATCATGACTACACACACCTGAAATCTCCTTTTTTCTCCATTTGTCCTTTTTTGTCTCCCTATTTTACTTTTTGTTCACTTTTCCTCATTGCATTTATTCTATTTTTATTCTATTTTTTATTTTCATTTTAGGTTTTTCTTTCTTTCTATCTTTGTTGTGGATACATGTACCTTGTTCATTTTAGTGTTTTTCTATTTTTATAGATTTTTTTAACACAAACAAGTTGGTGGCGTAAAAGGAAAAGGTGAAGAGGAGAGTTGGGACCCTGAGGCTGTATGAAGTGGTAACTTTGTGTGCTGTTTTTCTCAGGCTCAAGGACCAGATGTTCCAGTGAAAGATGCAGCTCAAAACGCCCTTCAGAAGAGTCAAACACTGCTGAACAAGGCCAAACAACTGCAGAATGATGTCAAAGGTACACGATTTATTAATGAATAAGAACCTGTTTGAGTTAAAAAACCTTTTCATCTTTGGAAAAAAAAAATCACGATTTTCACTTTGATCTTAGAACTACATTTGATTTTATTTGTGTTTATTTGTGTTTTAATTCTACAACAGAATGTTAGGGCCACACAAGATTTTTTTATTATTATTACGAGATTAATGTCGTAATTTTATGAGAAAAAAGTCATAATATTACAAGATTAAAGTCATGATGTTACGAGATTAATGTCGTAATATTATGAGGTTACATTCATAATATTACGAGGTTAAATTTGTAATATTATGAGATTAAAGTCGTAATATTATGATTAAAGTTGTAATATTGCAAGATTAAAGTCATAATATTATGATACTAAAGTCGTAATATTACGAGATTAAAGTTATAATTTTACAAGAACAAAGTCATAATATTACAAGATTAAAGTTGTAATATTACGAGATTAGTCATAATGTTACGAGATTAAAGTTGTAATATTACAAGATTAAAGTTATAATTTTACAAGAACAAAGTCATAATATTACAAGATTAAAGTTGTAATATTACGAGATTAGTCATAATGTTACGAGATTAAAGTTGTAATATTACAAGATTAATGTCGTAATATTACGAGAATAATGT